CCGTTCTATTCCATTTCATTTCTTTCTTTTCTTTTCTTTTCTTTTCTTTTCTATTCTATTCTATTCTATCCAAATTTTGGGTGGGATGCTACGATATTAAAATTAGGACTAAAGTTGTTCCTTGTTTCATTGATGTTGTTGACTGCTTCGCTTCTTGTTATCCCTTGATAGCCTGCGTCCCGATCAAAATCTTTTTCTTTTTTCTCCTCCCTTAGTGCCAGACAAGGTTGTCGTGAAGCTCCTGTCCAAACGGATCAACAGGCTGGATTGCTACTCTCGAGGTTGGGTGCTGCATGGCTTCCCAAAAGATGAAGACCAAGCCAAACGCATGCCGAACACCGGGATCTATCCGAACAGGTAACGGAGCTCTCTTCTTCTTACATCTGGAGGATCGCAGCCTCAGCTGTTGGCAGCTGTCCAGCAGCTGGTCCATCGTTTATTCACAGACGATGGTCTCTGAGCTTGGTGGTTTTCTTGCAGTCGTTCCTTCACTCAACCAGGGAACATCATCAATGTCCCCTGGTTGAGTGAAGAAGGGAGTGGGATTTGGAATGAGGAGGAGGAAGAGGAGGAGAAAGAGGAGGATGACTGTGGGGGTCCTTTGTGCTCTCTGAGCTTGGTTGTTTTCTTGCAGACATTTTTTTCACCCTACTAGGGAACATCATCAATGCTAGGTAGGAGGAGGAGGAAGAGGAGGAGGGGTTCCTTTGTGCTCTCTGAGGGTTGTTTCCTTGCAGATGTTTCTTCACTCAACTAGAGAACATCATCAGTGTTAAAAGGGAGTGGGATTTATGGAGATGAAGGGGACTATGGGTACTCCTTAGCACTCTCTGTGCTTGGTGGTTTTCTTAGAGACATTTCTTCACTCTACTAAATAACATCATCAGTGCAAGAAGGGTTTGGACTTGTAGAGAAAAGGAGGAGGGGGCTTCGTTTAGTAGTTCCTCGGTTGGGATATTGTTTACTTCTTAACTGTTGGTCTTGCATTAATCTCTACTCATCTGGGAGTTTATTGCTGGCGAAGAGTGTTTTGGCAAAGAGACAGACAACAAGGGGGGTGGGCAGTGGTGGGTTTCAAAAAATTTTCGAACCTACTCTGTGGGTGTGGCCTCCTTTGTGGGAGTGGCTTGCTGCCCATGTGACCTGGTGGGAGTGGCNATCTATCTATCTATCTATCTATCTATCTATCTATCTATCTATCTATCTATCTATCTATCTATCTATCTATCTATCTATCTATCTATCGTTTATCTGTATTAATATTGGTTTTGTACTAAAACGAACGATACTCAGATGCCAAACTGCCCATGCAATGATATTGATGATATTGTGATGTATGTTAAAAAAAAAAAAACTTTACACACAAACAAAAAAAGAGAAGTTGTGGGTGCTCTATCACTTGAGGTTTTCAAGAAGAGATTGGACACTCATTTGACCAAAGTTCTCCTGCCTTGAACAGAGGGGTCAGTCTGGAAGATCTCCAAGGGTCCCTTCCAGTGCTAGAATTCTACCTTTCTAGAATTCTACCTTGCCTTGCAGGAAGTTTATACTGTCAGTAGGTGGCGCTAGATAATCGATAAAGCCGCTCCATCAAGCCAGTTTCTCCTACCCTTCCCGATGTCGTGTTTATCACCTGCGCATCACAGGCAGCGCGTGAAGGAAAACCGCAGTTGGCTGGATTCAAAAGCCGGAAAAACAGCAGCGGCGGCCTTAAGAAAATAATGATTGCCTCAGATATCTCCCGTGCTTGTTATGTTGACCGCAGTTTGAAGGTTTCTGAACTTTGGTTTCCAACGAAGACCGTAGTTGGCATGCAGCCTCCGTTAAGCGGACTCCCAGGCGTGGGGTAGCTTCAGAAGTGCTCTTCAAAGCTGGAATCCTCCAGAAGTCTCAGCTCAAGAAAGAAAAATAAGAGAAAGCCACCTACGGAGAGACCAAAAAAATGCAGGAGGGAAAAAAAAAACACATTGGTTTGGAAAAAGCACAAAGGAAAGTGACTCCTGTAGACTGAAGCAAACTCAACCCTTTCATTTCGGGTGGAACGAAGCCCCCTGGGAAGGCTTCTCTTGGTGAAAGGATATTCCCTTGAAACCCGCACAGGTGGGAAGATGTTCTTTTTAAAGAGATGGACAGAGTTGGAAGGGACCTTGTAGGTCATCTAGTCCAACCCCCCCCCCCCAAGCAGGAGACCCTACACCATTTCTGACATATGACAGTCCAGTCTCTTCTTGAAAGTCTCCAGTGGCGAAGCTCCTTCAACTTCTGAAGGCAACTTCTGTTCCATTCGTGGATTGCTCTCACGGTCAGAAAATTCCTCCTTATTTTCCAGATTGAATCTCTCCTTGGTCAGTTTCTATCCATTATTCCTTGTCTGGCCTTCAAGTGCCTTGGAGAATAGTTTGACCCCCCTCCTCTCTGAGGCAGCCCCTCAAATATTGGAGGACTGCTCTCCCCTGCTCCTTCTCTTCATGCCCAGTTCTTCAACTGTTCCTCGTGTGTTTGAGCCTCCAGTCCCCTCATCATCCTGGTTGCTGTTCTCTGCACACTTTCTAGAGTCTCAACCTGCCCTTGAAGAGTATTCGGAGACTTCAGCTGGTCCAGAATGCAGCTGCGCGAGCGATTGTGGGTGCACCTCGGTACACCCACATTACACCTATCCTCCGCGAGCTGCACTGGCTGCCTATTGGGCTCCGGAT